GTCAGAGCTGCCGGTGGGCTGTAGTTTGCTAGCCCTCTTCTACAGCTACAGGGCACCTGTGCGTAAACATATGCTCGTATCTGTGTAAGTAGGCATGTATATGTGTGCATTAGCACGGTGGTCCCCAACCTTTTTGGCACCAGGGACAGTTTTGTGGAAGATGATTTTTAAAGTTACTTTTTATTTTTTAATTGGAGGAAAATTGCTTTACAGTGTTGTGCTGGTGGCAGACAGTTTTTCCACGGAAGGAAGTGGTGGGGCAATGGTTCCGGAGGTAATGCAACCAATAGGGGGTGGCAGATGAAGCTTCCCACACTTGCCTGCTGCTCCCCTCTTGTTGTGTGGCCAGTTCCCGACAGGCCTTGGACCACTACCGGTCCCAGGGATTGGGAAGCCCTGCATTGGCACACCAAATCTTTGTCTGCTTATCCCCAAAATAGGGTGGCTTCATGGGCGTGTGCCCAGTGTGCTCATATAGGGACCTGTGTTTAGAAGGGCTCTGAACCTGCAGTTTAATGCTCTGTGGTCAACGTTTTAAAATTCTTCTTAATGTTTTACGTTGGAATCTGGGCTCTATAGGTGAAGTCTGATGGCACCAATGGAAGCCCCACTCACATCTGTGGTCTTGTCTCTCCACTGCCTCATGGCTTGGACACTTGTTCCCTGTCAGTTTCCTCTTCCTGGCCCCTGCCCTGGGACCGTGCTGCCCTCCACCGTGGGTGGGACCGGGTCACAGCAGTTTTAGGGGGTGGAACATGTTCTGCTGGGCTTTGCTGGTGGCTGAGAATCCACCTGTAATGCAGGAGACCTGGTTTCGATCCCTGGGTCAGGAAGATCCCCTGGAGGAGGGCGTGGCAATCCACTCCAGCATTCTTGTCTGGACAATCCCATGGACTGAGGAGCCTGGCAGGCTATAATCCATAGTATCACAGAGTTGGACACAACTGAAGCAACTGAGCAAGCAGGCATGCTCCCGAGTTCTGCTATTATCCTTTACATCTGGTGGGAGGCCTGGATCTGAGCTTGAGAAAGGCTGGGTTGAGTATGTATATCCCTGACTTCTGAGAGTAGGACACGGAGCTGACCACCCCTGCTCCTGCCTGACAGCACTACAGCACACCCAGCGGACTCAGCGTGGAGCCTCTGCCCACCCTGATCCCAGCACATGGAGGTTGCCCAGCTGACCCACCCTGGGATGAAGACTGACTGTCTCTCTTCCCCACTGGGGCATGGTATACAGGTGTTTTGACTGGTGGCATGGAGAACCTGGAAACTATGGACCCATCTGTACACCCAGTCATGGGGCACCTATGGGGGTCTGCAGCCCCCAACATGAGTATCCCATGCTGGAGGGGGTCCAACACTAAACAGCAAATAAATGACATGCAGGGGGAGGGAGGAAGAGGGAAAAGGAGAGAGGGGGAGAGAGAGAGAGAGAGAGGCTGACTGCAGGAGAAAGGAAATGTTTCATAATTTATTACCTTTAACATCACTCTTTTCCTGTTTTTTTTGAGCAAAGAACCTTGCATTTTCATTTTGTATTAGGTCCTAATCAAAGATTACGGACTTAGATTAGAATCATCTCTGAGACTCATCCCCCAAAATGGAGGCTAACAAAGAAAACTTCACTTATGCATCACTTATTTCAGAGTGCTACCCTTCGTGCTTCCAGAGCTTCCTGCAGCCTTCCTAAATCTTAAATGTAAGGCTCTGAAATTAATTATCTATTTTGAATGTCAGACTAACAGGCTCCTTTCAGAATATGATGATTGGGGTTGCTGCAAGGTAGCCATTTCCTTCAGATAGTTTGCTACAGAACTAATTCATATTTCCTTAGAATGGTGATGAAGTACCTTACAAATATAAAGCACTATCAAGACATTATGCTTGAAACTTATTGATAACAACAGACAGGAAAGGGCAAAATTTTTCTAAGATTTCCCTTTATTTTCTATTAAAGAAGATAACACCATAACATTCTAACATACAGAAACATAACTCTCTTCCTGATTCGAATAAGCTGACTACAGTCATTGTAGAGATGGTCAGAAAAGATTGAATATGGGTTGTGCCTTACAGGATATTAAATAATTACTGTTAATCTTGTTAGGTGTGATGACATAGTGATTGTGAAAAAATTCTTCATAGGTGTACACAGAAGTATTTATTATGGGTGAAATGACTCAATGTCTGAGATCTGCTTTACATATTTCAAAAGCAGAAGAGAGGGAAAAAGACAGGAGAGGAGCAGAAGATGAAGAAGAAAAGGATGATAAAGATGACAAGGAAAATGGAGCGACAAAATGTGAAGTAGATGGAACAGAATTGCAAAATGAGGAACCTGGGTGATGGACATGTGGGATTTCATTGTAATAGTCTCTTTATCTTCACAAATATTTTAAAATCCCCATAGTGGAGTGTGTGCACGTGTCTAGCTGTTGCCTATAAAAATTTTCTAGTAAAAAATCAGGGCACAGATTTTTCATTCTTCTACATACCAAATGTCCCTTTTTTTTTTTTTTTTTTTGGTGCTAGAAGCACCCTCTGAGGCTGGCAGGAGCTCTAACTGAAGAGATACAAAGGAGTTAGTTGATGGGAAGGATAATCTGCCCATCAGCTCCTGACACAATAAAAAAGAGAAAAGGAGAAAATGGGAGGAAGAGATTGTCATTGTTACTCTCCTAACCTTCCCTTCTAATTATGCCAGAGTCAAGGCTTGGGTCACAAGGAAAATGATTTTGATGCTCAACCATTTGCCCTATTTTGTATACATCAAAAAAGATCTTGTTCTCACCACATTCCAATCTGACAGTTTCCCACCTACTTTAAAAATGTGTCAAGAGGCCAGATTAACAAAAATATAAATAAAAGGACCATATTACAAGGAACACCTTGTTTGTAAACATAGAGATAGCCTTCCTGTTATTCTGAATTGCATATGTAACACTTTAAAAGTGAAATTGCTTTATATTATTTTATAGGTATTCAGATATATGTTCAACAGCCCAGCTTTTAAAAGTTAAATGTAAATTTCTCTCCTGAGTGCAGATGGTGGCCAAGCAAAGTAGCTCTTCAGTCCTAAAGACAGAAGGTCAGGTCATGGCTGAAAGACCAAAGAACAATTGCTGCTTTGCTACTCCAGATCATCCATGGAATGAGACACCACTACTTTCTTGTTTTGAAACTGTCTGTTCAATTCAGAATAGTTACACAGAGTACCTATAAGATTTCCTCAAATTCTGTCCAAGAAAAAAATAGTATGCACATCACATTACAAACATCTTGGAAAACTATTAGGAGATTTTATTCCTAACTCTGACATCCTAAAAAGGCATATCTCTATCTAAAACTAACATTGAAATCATTATAAAAACTGTTCATGTTTCACTATTTAGCAGGTAATATTTACAAATGAAGACTGCTTCTTTTAAAAATCCTGCAGAATTTAGCCTCCACATCATTAGTAGTTAATTAAAATGAGATATAGTGAGAAAAGACAAATATTACAAATACTTCTGCATGTGTTATTCATTTATAAGAGATATTATAATCTTATTGCTCCTATAGCGTTTTTTTCTCTCTAGAACATTAAAATGTAATTTTTAAATAGCTTGGAGACTCTACCTTATGATATTTTTTCAGTTAGTCTAAAATGTTATGCTAGCAGATGCTACAGAATAACAGGAAAGGTATATAATAATGCTAGGGAGCATGACAATATGATACCTTTTTTAAAAAGTTATGATACATCAGAAAAGGAAAGTTCCGTGTTGGTTGGTAATACTAGACCTTCAGTTTCTGATATAAAGGATTTTTAATTCCACTATCAGGCACGCCCCCAACTGGATAGAATAAAATAGTGTCATTATTTGAACATAATGAAATGTACATTATTTGCTAATAATGAAAATTCTTCTGAAAATTTAAAACTCATTATAACACTATGAATGTAGTGGTGCAAAAGTAGAATTTGATTTTGGCTGTCTGGATTTTATTTCAGTGCCAGGAATTTCAGCCACCACTTGAAAAACTTTTTGTACTAAATTTCATCATCACTTTCATTTTCAAAACTTTTCCTGATTGTCTTTGCATTATTTGCATGGAGAGCTGATTGGGTTGAAAAGCAAATATGTTGGAAAATTTGGTAAAAAATGTTGAACTAGAATATATTTCAAAAAATTTACTTTGGGCTACCCTCTTTTAAGCCATAGCGATTTCTTTAAAATAATGACACTGAGAACTCAGTCTTATTTTAATTGAATAGATTTATCAACCTGCTTTCACTGAATATAAAGAATGAAAGCTTTCAATGTTCTGTCACACAAAACTAAGAAAATCAAAAGTCAGTATATTTGGAACTGCCTCGCTAAAAACTTTATCCATGTTGTCAATTAAAATTGAAGTATCTACATGATCTCAACAAAGATATAATGTAAAACATCTGTTCAAACTTAAATTGAAGTAAGTAACATTTCTTCCCTAGCATTTCCAGTTTTACTGTATTTAGGTTTCCTGAACAAACGTATTCATGATAGTCTTAGTTAAAACTGGTTCCACTCTGCCAACAATCAATTTGATTGACATGTTTACATATCAACTCATCTCATCTCACAAATTTTAAACTTTTTCACTTAAAATTGGATTCAAGTTGGCATTTTTCAAGAACTTTATTTACATATATTTTAGGTTCAAAATGTGCATTAGAACATTTTTTTTCACTTTTTAAAGTAATGGATACATATATCCAAATGTATATTTATGACCTGTCAGATTGGAATTTAATATGCATGCAGTTGTATTCTCACAACTTCATGTGAAAGGTGATAATTTTAGGCAACTGTACATGAAATTCTTTTAATAGTATAAATTGAATCATTCCATTAATTAGAAAGAATATAATAGAAATAAATGACTTAGGAATAAAATCACAAAAATTTCAGGAAAAAAACATTAGTTATGTCTTTAATTGCTGCAGGTACTATATTTGTACCAAATCTTACCTGATCTTTAATTTCAAGATCCCTTTTAGTTTTTGTTCTGTACTCTCTGTGCTCCTTTTCAGCCTCATCCTTCTCCATTTTGGTTTTATTCAATTGATAGCGCATTTCTCCACACACCTGTTAGATTACAAAAACTAGATCAATAGCTACTGGAATCTACTAGGCAATGACCGCAATCAGATCTTTTGGTGCCCCCTAGAGGTCATATTAATAAATACAACAGAAGTTTTCTAAGAATGGCATTTTTTATTTGCATATTCAATATATTGTTAAGATGTGGAGGCAATATCGGATATTATTGAGTCTTGCAACTTCAAATTACAGATAAAGCAAAGCATAACCAGGGAACTCTGGTAATATACACAAGAACTTTTCATGTAAAATAAGAGCTTCAATTGCATATTATCATCTAAAATGCACTATCATCTCACTTTTAAATAGGTAAAATTATTAATTAAAATATTAAGCTATGTTATTATTCATTAACATTGTCATGGTTAAAGATACACTCTATATTAAAAACTTGCCTTGAAACTCTTAATCAGTTAGGTTTTTATTTAAGGAAATTAATAAAGGAATTCTTCTGTTAATAGACTATATTATTAATATTCAGGCATAGAGTAGAACCCAGCCAGTATTTACTGTAGGCTTTGTAGATAATGTAAGTCTTACCATGCAAAATACTATGTATTCAAGTTAAGAAAATTAAAAATCACAGACTGCAATTAAGCCCACTCTGCTTTTAAAATAACTACGGCATTCAACATAAAAGGAAAATATACATGTAATTGAAATGATTTTAATACAGAATTAAACAGTAAACACATGTAGTATCTAAAAATTATGTATCATCCTTTACATATTCTTTCAATCCAGGCCATCTCCATACAGATAAATACATTTGGGAAATGCAACTAGAAGACAAATCTAAATAAAGAAGTTACAAACTTCTGAGACAACTGAGAACTTGTAGGGAGACCAAATAATATGTGTCTGCTAAGTCAGTTTCTAAGTTACAAGTATGAGATTTTAAAAATTAAGTATCATCCAATGGCTATTTCTACCTGAAACTTAAATTTTGGTAGTCCTCTAAAGTGATTATTAGAATTTTAGAAATTAGTTTCATCATTATTGAAGTTTTAGAATCTTGTAAAATCTATATGCACTTCCTATGTTCAAATAAAAAATACCTTAAGACTAAACTAGTCTGTGTTTGAAAATTACAGTGACAGGATAGAAGAAAAACTAAGTTTCTCCCCAGTGACTCTCAAAAAGTTTAAAAAAAAAGAATAAAATTACTAAAAACTGTATTTGAAATTCAGATATCTTCAATATGTGAGTAGAGCCTTCCCATTTCAAAAATATTAGTAATGCATAAAAAATTATTAAAGCTAAATAAAATTTAAAAATTAAGAACCACAGAAAAATATGAGAGGAGCCCTAATTGTCTTCCTTCACTATTTCAATCTATTTGATTTACATATAAGAATACAATTTAAAAATCCAAATTATAATACCAACACGTAACAACTACACAGCCATGGTGCTTAAAACTCAATATCAGTACAAAATTATCATATATAATAACTATCTAAGCATTAAGTCCTATTTAAAATAATTTTATCCCTTAAGTTTATTTTTAAAGTTTCCCCGCCTCACTAATTTCAGTTTAAAATGCATTTGTTAAATTTATTCATAACACTTAAGTTTCATCTAAAATACATCAACAAATTAAATTTAACTAGGATTATATTATCCCAGAGTTGGAAGCAATCACACAGCACTCCCCTGATGTCTGAGTCCTTCTGAACAGTTCTAAAGACAGAGTAATCATTCTTTACTGTCCATATTTCAACAGGAAGTTCTCTCCTTATAATGAACAAAAAATCCTCATGTGGCTCTCACCTATTATCCAGGTCAACCATTTCTATCCCTCTGTACCAGTTCCCTTACTTCTGCACCCTACTTCCACACAAATACATCAATCAAACTGGCAAATATGATATTTTAAGCTTCTGCATGAACTAGCTGAAATTCTAGAAAGCAAATGAAGAACTATATAAACTCAAGGGAAAAAAAGAAAAATTAGGCTTCCTTTCCTACTGTATATTAAAGATAATTCAAATTACTGAGTTATAAAGCAATAACGGCATTAAAATATGTCAAAATTTGGGAAAATACGTTGAGAAATAAACTATAATATGAGATGAGTATGCATTTTAACAAAATTATCTGTGTATATATTGATGAAAAACAAATAGATTTATTACATCACGCATATCCATATTGAGTTACTTAGCCTTAAACCAATGATTACTGATGTCTACACAGACCTCTAGTGTTTCTTAAACATGTACCTTCGCCACTTATGACCATTAAACATTTCAGTTCTTGGTTCACAAGTTTGCGATGCCCATAGCACAGACATTGTGATACCATAGTGTAAAGTATAAATTTAAGGACCAAAAGAATAAGAAGTTGTAGTATTAGAATCTTGATTTTAAAGAACAGGTCTGAAAGGAATGAGAGGTAGAGAATTTTTTTATGTTAAACACACCTTTATGTTGTAAATAAATGTATGTCTTTTAGTATTATTGAGAAGACCAAACTTATACTATCTCTGGGAAAAAAATTACCCTTAATTGATTTATTTAGAAATACAAGTTTTATCAAATACCTAATAATTAAAGTAATAAAATTTGCCTATTCACAAGTCTGTCTCAGCAACTTAACCCTTAAGTTCTTTGAGGACATTGTTTGTATCTAACCCTCTTCGTATTTGCAGCACCTAGCAAAGGGCCTGATGATAATAAACAAATGCTTGCTGAATGACCATTATGTGGATCTTTACTATCTCAAAACAAAAACATTTTTCTACTCCAGACTTCTTTCTGAGATTTACAGACTAGGAAAAATTTTTCAAAGAAAAGATTTACATAATTAGTAAACTAAAATCTTTGTACCTTTGTGACATCCATTTCCCGGGAAGCAAGCTGGTTTTGAATTTCCTCGAGTTGATGAACAGCTGAAATTTTCTCTCTTGTAACCTTTTCCACCTCAGCCTCCAGTTGGGCAATATTCTGAGATAGGGTCAACATCTATAACAGGAAATAAAAGTCCTAAATGATAATGTTATTTGACAAAATAAATATTTAAAACATCTTAAGTTAACAGAGTTTCAGCATGGCCACTCGACTCTCTAAGTCATTTCTCTGTGGATGGGGTATCTCCATGACACTGCATTCTCAATTCATCAATCTCCCTTCACTATCACCTCATATAATTACTTATTTTTCCTAAACTTTTAAGATTTACTCTCTTAGCAACTTTCAAATATACAATGCAGTATTGTCAGAGTCACCATGTTTTTTATTTTTAAAAGATATGTATGTATGTATTTATTTGGCTGTACCAGGTCTTAGTTGCAGCATGCTGGATCTTTAGTTGTAGCATGTGGCGTCTATTTACCTGATGAGGGATGGAACCCTGGCCTCCTGTGTTGGGAACACCAGAGTCTTAGCCACTGAATTACCAGGGAAGTCCCACCATGCTTTTTAAATATTAAAAATAGAATCGATCAGCAGACATTTTTTGAGAAACTTCCATATGCTACACTAAGTCTTTAATACCAGAGTTAATGAATTTCTAAGCACTTTAGAAAGACATGTCTAATATCTGAAAAATTCAATAAGAATATAAAATAGTATTTTTAAAAAACACTAAGTATATTAGTAATTTTGTATTAAGGCAGATACAAGAATAAAGGTGCTGAATTTATCCTCAAAGTTAAAATATATTTAAAATGTTATTGATATATTCTTTATCAGCTAAAATTATTTACATGCATAGTGCTTAAGACATCACATTTTTTGCTGTTTCCTCATTAGACTAGAAGTTCCTCAAGAGCATATTCCTTAAGAGGCATATGATTAATGTTTGATGAATGAATGAATTGTTAGAATAAATGGGTTTTCTGAGGAACTCTATGATAGCAGGTGCTTAGTTTTTCTTCTAAGGGTTAGAAATGCTTTCTAGATCTTAGATTTAACCTTCATAGTTTTTGGTTTGCAATTAATTTTAACTTCTGCTCCGGTGGGTCAAACTTTCCCAGGCAATTAGCTTCTCATTTGTATTAGTACTTTTAAAGGGATGAAGAAATGCTACCGTGCCCCCAGATCAAAACATAGCTATTCATTTTTAATCAGCTAAAACAAAAACTGATAACAAATTTGACATAATATTTAAAATCTACCATAATATTTAAAATCTACACTAACATGGGTGTGAATTCAGTTTTACAACAGAAATCAGTAACTAAAGTTTGTAGTAAAAATCAAGATTGCCTTTGGCAACTAACTAATATTGAAAATAGCAAAATAATGAGCCCAGGTAGCTATTTTCTAATTTAGACAGTAGAGGTATTATTTAACTTGTCTAGGGATTGTGGAGAATTATACATTTAATATATGATTGTTTACATGTCCTTCTTATCATCAAGAAATTGGCTACAAATCTAAATTGCATGTAAAATTTCTTTTACTAATATCAGGCTACGAATTATCCTTATGCAGATTACAATCTGAAACAAAAATTAAAGGTCAAAAGTAGTTAAATGTAACAAATCAAAAATACTAACCAAATTTCCTTAATTTAAAAAATCAAGTGCATGAGTAAGCATATTATGAAAATGTAATTATAGCTTTTCTGGAACCTTACAGTAACAAAAAACTTTAATTACCAGCTACTAAAAAATTCATATATTATTTATGTGAATCTTATGGCAAATGTATTAATATTGTGTGTTTTTTTTTTGAAGTAAATGTGCAGACATTTATTTTGCTAATGGTAAATTCTGAGTCAGTTTCTACAGCATGTGACAAATTGGCACTTTCCACGTGACTCCCTCCCCCTGCCACCCATCACTTCATTCCTCTACCCACTACCTGTCTGCTCCCTTCTGTCACCCACTTCTCGGAGCCTCCCCTCCTGTTGACACACCTTCTTTTTCCCCATGCCCACCATCTGGAAGTCAACATTACACTGCAGGAACGTCTCCATCCACATCTGTTGCAGAGGCAGAAGTAACACAGACAGCTGCAACACTGTTGGAGGGCCAGGGTGTTGACACCAGGTAAGTCCTTTAAACTTTGACAGGGGCAAGCAACAGACAAGGACACCCAGGATGGGAGAGCCTGATAGAAATTTCTACAATAAAGGGTCCCTGGTGTATTGAACGTAGTATAAAATGGCATTCCTCATAAAAAAAAGGTACAAGAAGTAGGGATTCTAGCAATGGGCTATTATCAAGAAATCAACTGAGAAAAATTCACAAACCACAGGGGGCATTCAATAAATAGAAGACTGAATAACTGATTGAACTAACAAACTTAGTGTCTTAGTGCAACCAAAGACCATTACTGATACCAACAGGCAAACTCACAGCAAGAACTGTTCATGGAGGAATGATTCAAAATCTGTCTAGGTGGAAGGCATCTGCTCTTCTAGAACTTCCCACATAAATGAAATTTTTAAAGCAGTAAGAAGAAAGGGAAGAAGAAAAATAATAAAAAGAGAGAAAGAATGTACAAGTCTCAGTAGCAAGCCCACCACAAGGAAAGCAGAGACACGTGCTCCAACACTAACAATTAGAACTTAAAATGTGATTGTTGAGACTTCCTACTAAAGTAACTTCTGGTGCTAGGCAGTGTGATAATATCCTCTTTTAAGCCCCTTGGAAAAGGAATGTATTGGATTAACTTTCTGGTGAAAAAAATGAAAACCAAGAATTTTCCCAGATTCATTCAAGCTAATAATTAAAAAAATAAAGCTGGACTTTATATTAAAATGTGTCAGCTTTTACTAACACAAAGGTCCAAGAAAGCTACCCAATAGAGCTAACTCTTTCACTAGAGTAAGAATAATAGCCACAAACTAAAATTTGTTTAATGTCCACCCTAAGCCAGGTAGTTTGTTAGGTACTTCAAAGCATTATTTTATTTAATCCTATCAATTCTTAAAGTAGATCAAATCTGTCATTTACTACTCTGAAATTTGGAGAGGTTAAATGAATTGTTCAAGGTCACAAAAAGGTAAAACTGGATTCAACACTAAATCCTTTTACTTCAAAGATTCTGCCATTTCCTGTGAAAGTACTGGCTTCACTGCTAGGATCACTTTCAAGTCTTTATTCATACATCTTTATTTTGGGCAGGACCTTGAGATTAAGTGTCAAAGGTTTAATGGGGACAAAAAAAAATTCAGAAATGCACTGCATTTCTGTTGCCACTTTTTTTAATAAAATAATTATCAGTTTAAGAAAATTATACATAAAAGCACCTGGAATATGGCCTGGCACATTTCAGACTTCATTTCTTCTTATCAGGAATTCTCATCAACATATTTTTACATAGTAAAAGTACTCAGCAAGGCAAAAGTTGCCACTAAACAACCCAGGAAAAAAGTCTCCTAAGCATAATTAGTGGCTGATCTTTGCTCTTGATGCCATTGTTTCTCTCACACAAGCTCAGCTCACAACTTCACCTTCCTCCACACCTTACTCATGTTGGCGTATCTCCCCCTCATACTGCATTTCTGCTGCTGCTAAGTCGCTTCAGTCGTGTCCAACTCTGTGCGACCCCACAGACGGCAGCCCACCAGGCTCCCCTGTCCCTGGGATTCTCGAGGCAAGAACACTGGAGTGGGTTGCCATTTCCTTCTCCATTTATAAATCCTGCCTTTTTTTTTTTTTTTTTTTGAAGCTCATTTAAAATGCCATCTTCTCCACAAAGTTTTCCATGATCTCTTACAGATAGAAATCTGTTCTGATTCTCTGAACTCTTAGCATTTTAGTTATACCTTTCCAGGGGAGGGAAATGGCAACCCACTCCAGTGTTCTTTTTGCCTGGGAAATCCCATGGACAGAGAAGCCTGGAGGGCTACTGTCCATAGGGTCACAAAGAGTTGGACACAACTGAGCAGACATGCATGCATGCCTTTCCAATGGCCTGGGGCCTTCTTTCTTCCATTTGTATTCCCCTTGTATTCATTCAATAAATATATATTGAGCACATTTTATGTGGGAGGAATGTGCCAAGCAATTAGGATGTTAACAAACCATACATGCAGGAGAATCATAGTAAATTAGGGGAGATAATTCAATAAGATTTTGCAATAAATTGAGTTTAGAAGCCCATAGGAGGGGCTCCCAAAAATTCATCACTGAGAGACTATGAAAAGATATGGTGTCAAGAACTCTAAACCATCAGTTAGAGAGGCTAGAGGAAGATTCCTCTAGGCAATGGTGGGTGAGGGGTGCAGGGATGGGAGAGGAGGGGCAAGGCCTTGCAAAATCCTGAAATGAAAAATTGGTATGGCAGATTGGCATGTTTGACATTTGAGAAAGTGCAAGTAGGTCAGTATGGTGGTAATATAAGAAAGAAAAGAGAAGGGAGATGAAACTGAAGAACCAAAGAAAGGGGAAAAAAATGTACAATCTTTATGTAACAGTGAAAGAGCTTAAAAAAATGCCACAAAAAAAGAAAACTACAGGCCAGTATCAGTGACGAACATAGATGCAAAAATCTTTAACAAAATTCTAGCAAACATAATCCAAGAACATATTAAAAAGATCATACATCATGACCAAGTGGGCTTTATCCCAGGGATGCAAGGATTCTTTAATATCTGCAAATTAATCAATGTGATACACCACATTAACAAATTGAAAGATTAAAGCCATATGATTATCTCAATAGATGCAGAGAAAGCCTTTGACAAAACTCAACATCCATTTATGATAAAAACCCTCCAGAAAGCAGGCATAGCAGGAACATACCTCAACATAATAAAAGCCATATATGATAAACCACAGCAAACATTATCCTCAATATTGAAAAATTGAGAGCATTTCTCCTAAAATCAAGAACAGGACAAGGGTGCCCACTCTCACCACTACTATTCAATATAGTTTTGGAAGTTTTAGCCACAGCAATCTGAGAAGAATAAGAAATAAAAGGAATCCAGATTAGAAAGGAAGAAATAAAACTCTCACTGTTTGCAGCTAACATGATCCTCTACATAGAAAACCCTAAAGACTCCA